AACAAACAACAATTTGGTGCAAGCATATTACTTGCTTTAATATGCGAAACGAATTCTCGCAATTCTTCGAATTTGTCACATAATAGTTTTGAAGGATCTGTAAGAATAATATATAATTAACATAATATTTTTGGTATAATTCTGGAGGACGATACACGTCATATTTATATAATATTAATGAATCTGTTTCTGTTCAGTGTTTTTATAACTAGTTTGTCTTTTCCCCCAATGGAATTTCTGCAGATAACCGGATTATTCCCTGGCGTTGACGTTGTGATCATTATTAATAGCCGAGTGTTACTTTATCGTTTGAATTAGATTTTCAATGAAACACAACTATAAAATGTGTGTTGTTTTACGATTGTTTTATTCAGTTTTATTCACATATAACACGAGGTGTGAAGATAATTGACACAACTTGTGTTTTGCATATCGGCAACTACATGATAATCAGATGGTAACTGAAGAAATGTACCGTTGGTAATAGTGATTATTATGCAAGATATTTCCTAGAAGTATACAACACGTTTATGGCTGTTCATTCTACATCAGCAGAAAATTGACATTCTCGGTTTTCAGTATATTGTTATCTCTCAGTGTACATTGTCCGTTTTGCTTTCGCGAGACAGTGAACATGGCGCGTGTCCACAGGTGGCTACCAATCTGCCATGGCCAATTTAGTTAACTCCTTGATTAGATATGAGATCCTTTCGCTATTAACGGGACGAGAAGAGTGTTCAACAACAGTTGAAGCTCAATTCCAGTCAAGGCCAAATCGTCCGTAACCGATAACGGGCATCTAATTATCACTGACAGGGATTTAAAGATGGCGTGTGACACTATCGCAGCAGACGATAATTACGTCATGATGACGTCAAGTGCCGTGAAAATGAAGAATGTCTGAAGATGAAGCTTACCATCAACTTACAGATTATAAAGTCAACAAGGCAACATAGTTTCATTTCGGAGTAGACATATGATAAACATGTTGCATGAGCATCACGTGAATTGCACGTTACATATTAAACAACCAGAGACATATGTGCAATAATAAACAATAAATAAAACAGCAGTCTCATCAGAATGAAAAGACAATCTGTGTTTCAATCATGATTCCATTCCAATGCAGAACTGTGGATGGTCCTGGCGTGACTACAGTTGCAGTAAATATATTCGTCAAAGTGACGACAATATTTCAGCAAGTTTGTATCTCTAATAACAATATCATAACATCAGATCTAACAACATCTTAAATGTAGATATGGCATCGAAAGACACACTTTTATGGAGAGTATATGAATATTTCGTACCCACCAGTCAAGTGCAAAACGAATGCACTTGGGAAAAGATTTTAGGGAAGTCTAGGGGCCAAATGTCTGTTCACCTCTGCGTTTTCCAAAAACTGTATGACGATAAAGTATATAATGCAGTACACAGCTTATATCTGAACTATCTTTAATCAGACAACGATTTTAAAATCAATGTGAGGTCAGAGTGAGATCATGTATGTCTGTTAGAAAGCACGTGGTGCACAAAACATGACATGACAAAGTTGAAATTTTCACTCGTGCTTGTGACTAAAACATTACTTTTGTCAGGGTGCCTCATGAGATAAACATGTTACATGAAAATACAATTATCCGATGTGTGTTAGCACTTGTTAAACTAGAAGAACTAACAGAATGCACAAAAGGTGTGTGTTCTTTCAGAATACAAAACGTGGTTGTTTTCACGTGGAAGTTCAGCTCAGATTTGGTTGTGACTGTGGCGCACTAGGGTCCTGTAATGTAATGCGTGTTTGTGTTGATTTACAATTACTGAATACCACACATTGTATGTAGGTTCCATAGCAACAAGTAATGTTATTCCCTCTTATTTTTAGAAAGCTTCGCACGTGGAACTTCGGTAACGATGGGATCTATTTTCCAGCTTTTGTTTTCATCCTGTATTGGATTTTCGTGTAAACAAATAATCTAAAATGTTCCAAATCAACACGTGAGACACATGATATATCAGTCTGAACGTACCCCTAGTGCCGACTAAAACACACACACGATAATAGTGTGTTTTCACTTCTCTACGTCTCAAAATTCCAACTCTCAGTAGCAAGGTATGGTCTGTTACGTATTGGAATGATATTGGTATTAGGAATACGGAATAACCCAAAAGTCTGTTTCACAATGTGCTTACGTCATATCTTCCGCGATTGTATGGACGACATATGTCGACATGTGTGTACGAATTTAGGATGTATCGCGAGCAAGTGATGCTAATCATGTCAGTATATGCTTCCTTGGTCAACTCAGCTCCAATGTCCATCATGTGAGACAAATCAAAGCTTATTAGCTGAAAACGTGATCATATAAAGCAGATAATCGATGCCTAATACAGCAATTAATGCTGTGTATTAATCGTTGTTATACTTCTTCATTTCCCTACCCGTGTTACATCAACAGCATATGTATTACCGGAATCAGACTGGATATTGTATTGCCATTAGTGAACAAGGAAGGTCGTTAGTGAAATTATTATGTGATGTTTTGTAATACAATGTTACTGTAACATATTTCGAAAAAAATATTTCTGAAGAAAAATAGTTCTATCTGACGATAAATGTCATTCATTTGTTCCTGTGCAATCGGAAACCATTATAAACTCTGTTCAAATATTTTTTCATATTCCAGTATTGCAATGTAATGTCTTCACTGAGTCTGCCGATGTGAGACATTCCGGCTCGTGGAGATGTAACTGTTCGTGGAGGTACTGTGGGTTCAGCTATCATTATCCATTTCAGCAATTACTACAAGTTTCAGGTAAATCCCGCCACCACCACCCTTCCATGTACAGCACACCATGTCTGCGTGTGGTGTAAATCTATACACGTGTACTAAACACGCATGTCCTCATTTTAAAACAAAACCACATGAAACTGTTAAATTTCCAATTGCATGTCGGTACAAACATGTCCTGTATTGGGCGTGGCTCAATGTCATTTGGCCCTAACAAATAACAGGAGACTGTGCTTCATCAGACCAGGTTAGGAAAGTACACATTGAACCTACTAGTATATTGTCGCAAATATCGAATACAACGATGGGAGACTTTGCATCTTGTAATAAAGAGGGTCCAGCTGGTTTTCTTATTGAAGGAGAACATCAACATAACAGTACATTCGTACAAGGCTAGGGGTCTGAATATGTTAATGATCCAATCTGACTGCCTTGTTGCCTAATTGTAAATGCAAACAAGACATTTTCACAGCATCAACAATAAGAAAATAATGTCATTTTTCTGCAGAAGAATGTAGCAGGCGTGTGTTTAGAGATATTTAGAAAAATACAACATTTAACCACCACGCAGAGGTTGGTTAAGTAGACAGTATAGAAACTACTATAGTCTAACAACAGACATTACAACTAACATCATGTTTTACAACACCCATGCTGACCTGTTAAGAGTCAAAGATCCATAACTGGTTTGTGTTTTAGACCATATTGTGGTAGATGTAAACAGATATGACGCAACAATGTGTAATAATTACAATGCTTTCACGATACTTTCAATTGTTTGTGTGAAGGTAGATAAATATTGATCTTAATCCGTGGATCATTTATAGTGGAACATTAATGTATTTAATTTCCGAATTGTTTTGGACTTCAAAATCTGTCCAAACCTAATGTACAACTGTTGGGTAAAACTAACAAGATCAAATAAAACATTTTGCATATAAATGATATAACGTTATACGTATATACATATTGTCACCGTTGGCGGTGTGGAGAAACAAACTGAATGACTAGCTTCTACGTCAACATGAAACATGGGAAAACCTTCATGTTTGTACCGTCTTAGTTACGAAGCTGTGAGGTTCGATGGCGCTCATGCACTTTAATATTGTCCTCTTTGACTATTTCACCTAAACGAACTAAGGGAAATATGGAACATATTAAACACAAATAGTTTTAAATGTAACTGTAAATGTGTGTATTCCAATTCCAATATTATTCATATGGCCATTGGACAATACTTATATGTCCAGTTATGGTTTATATCAGCTGAAAGAATAATCCTTTCGTATTTTTATTTGACCATTTTCTATATATTAGTTTCTTTTCACGTTTATTTATAGTTGTAATGGGTATATTTATGTTTATATAGTCACGCAGATCGTTTAATATGGTTGTTATAAACACAAATATCGCCCTGATTCTCACTGAACTGTAATTACCCCAGCTTTTGTTTTAGTATATAATAATCATAAGATAATCTTTTCGCAGGTAAAATTAGAAAAAATACTTCATTTCCATAATATTGTTAGTATTTCAATGTTACTGCCCACCAACGTGTAATTTGTTTATTCAGGTCGTGTCAATGAGTGTAAATACCACAAGACACAGCAACAAGACAACAGTCAACGGGATACATTCCTAACACACTGTATTCTACCTTTGTCATTGTACATATCTATACAAGTTGGAAGGTCGGGTCCTGTTTGTGGTAATGTAATGTAGATCAAGCCAAATGTCATCACAAAAATCATCGCTGAATTTATTTGCAATAGCATAATTCAAAAACACATTGATTATGATAAATTATTGAATATTGAAAACCAAAAGCTCCAAACATAATTTCCTTTTGAATACGTTCAACATTGTTTGATAATCTATGTTTTACTATGTTTTACTATTTTATTTATTCGAATATGTGGTTTGTTCTGATCTGAAATGAACCACATAAACATTTGACTTCTCTACTTCTCACCAAATATTTATCATCCATTTTAACATGGCTGGGATTTTGCTGAAATTGCTGCCTGTGGGTGTTAAGTTAGGTATTATGTCTATCAAGCTACATCACCTAGTGAGAGTTCATGGATTTGTCACTGCCAATATATTGGTTTCTACCATATTTTTGTCGTATTCATAACATGAGACACATTGACGTTTTACTACACATGCCTACATGAGCTAGTTGTTGTACCTGTGTAACTGTTGACATACCTTGAGAACGACTGGTACATGGACTGCGATGTGTTGTCGCTGTAACCCTGCCACTGCCCAGAGCCTGTTCCATACATGCCGCTATTGCAAGATGTCCCGTTCGACCCTCCATAGTTACCATTGTGGTACCATCTCATGAATGGATTGTTCATACTCTGCCTTAACAACGCTTCATCCAGTTTGTACGCTCGTCTCTCTGCTTCTGTGTAGGGAGAGTATATGGACCCGATGGTTGCAGGGTGGTTGAACCCCATCCCTGGATTCAGGGTAGCTGGTGGGGTGCTCAGGTAACCATTAGTCATGGGGTACATCCCAAACTCTCCCTCCTTCTTCCTCCCTCTTCTCCTGGACCTCCTCCTCTGCCTGAAGTCCCCCCGCATGAAGTCTTGTATATTGGCAGGATGGATCGCCCAGTAGTTGCCTTTGCCGTCCTCACACCTTCCTGCTTTGATGAAACAGTCATTGAGGGACAAATTGTGCCGGACACTGTTCCTCCAACCTTGACCTTTGTTCTGGTAGTACGGGTAGTTCTTCTCAATCCAGGAATATATGGAACCAAGATTCAGTCTTTTCTGGGAGGACTCCAGTATTGATTTAGCTATGAGAGCGATATAGGAGAGTGTTGGTTTAACATCTGGATTATTTTTACCCGTTTCTTCGTCGTTCTTGTCTGTTGCCTCTACCGTGCCTTCCTCCTTCTTCTCTTCAACCAGTTCCTCTTTATTCATCTGTGCAAGTCGCTCTTCTGTCTGTCCATCATGTTGTTCCGCGGTGAGACTTTGGTAGGTTGTTTTATATTGGTCAGGGTCATGTTCTAGCTTTGTCACCGTGGCGTCCATCTCATGAAGAACTTTCGGCTCCTCCACGTCGTACCTTTGAACAAAGTCCAATCCATTTCCGATCGGGAGTTCGGGTTTTATCAACACCTGGTCATTTCTCTGTATGTCATACCCATTCAAATCCACCTGACGGTTTGGGACCTTGTAATAAGAAGGACTGGAATTTGGCACGAATCCGGAATGAAAGAAAGTCGATTCTGCATACGTAGGTGGTTCTCGGGGAGGAAGTTTGGCGACGTGTTGGGAGTATTCATGTAATTTCCATAGCACGATTCCGTCTCTGGGTAGTGTCCATGATGCAGCTTAATGGTACCCGCATCATACCCGGGCGATGATCCATAGAGACCCGTCTGATACCCGTTACCTTCAAAGGGAGAGTTCTGCATCTTGTGAGGAAAACTCGACAAGTTTTTCTCCTCTGTTTGAAAAACAGACGGCTCAGACCTCCTTCGTGACTGAATAACGCCGAGCTATGAAATCGCTATATGTGAAGCACTTTCTTGGGATACAAACTCATACACAATGGCCAAACTCCGACAATCTCCAGTAATTAAGCCCTATCAAGCCGAGTCGCCATTAAGAGCTAATACTTGGCGACCCGTAAGAAGTTGGCCCTACCCTGAATGAAATGCGGTTGCTGATTGGTTGTCGCTATAATCAGTTCCTCTCCTGCAAGCAAGAGCCGTACTTTGATTGGTTGTTGTTATCGTACAGCTAGCGTCATTGGATTTAGTTAAAGGGGTGGCCGCAAGGGGGCGTGACAGAGATTACTTGGTACATATCGAGATAAGAGTGCTCAACGCTTAACGCCTAGCATAACAAAAACACGTGGGGTGTATGGGGAAGGTGATTAATAGAGTATGTTGAAATTGGGTATTATTCGATAACAGTAGTGTTGTTTTAGTTGTGTGTACCATACAGTTTCTTGAATGAAAGAAAAATGAACTGCACGTTGGATGTCATGTTCAATGTTTGACAGGTTTTTTAAATTGTAAATTAGCGTACATTTGAAGATAATCTGTTGATAATTCAATATCAATATTCCAACCGGTGCTACTGTTCTATTGGACAGCCGACATCCAATACATACTGGTTTATGTGTGACCTGAGCCCAGCGTTGACTATGTGTGGTAATATCTGTCTTGTTGACACGGTATGGAACGTTAAACACTGGTGAGAATTCAGACACACGGGTTAATCCAGGAACGAGTTAGTTAATTATATTGTGAAATCAGTACTTCCTAGCTCCCTGGCCGTAGACTCCGCTCCTCCTGATCAACTCCAGGGCCTAGATTTTCGAAGCTCTCTTAGCGCTAAGATACTCATAAGTTAATGTTAATGTATGGCACTTACGAATATCTTAGCGCTAAGAGAGCTTCCAAAATCTAGGCCCAGCTCTGCGTACCCTTTACGAGGAAAAAGTTAGCTTGCTATGCTTTTTCATTTGTGGCTCCAGCTGTGTGGAACAGCCTTCCAACATCTCTCAAATCTGCGGACCCCGTTGAGTCATTCCGCCGTGACTTGAAAACCTATATCTTCAACAAATCAATTTTATTTTAAACTTTGTGATGCACCCCTGAACAACCACCGGCTGGAAATTAGGTGCTATACACGTGCATTATTATATAGTGAACAACCAAGAGCAGTGAATAGCGAGTATATTATACTTACATACAGTTTCTGTATTCATGTTGGTTATCAATGCAGTTATGCTCTACACACGCGTGTTATACCCTGGTCGTCCACTTACTAACGTCCTACTGTAGTGTATAAATCAATTTGAACTACATATAAAGTTATATGAACCTTCATAGTTTTATTTGTATTTTATACAAGATTTAAGTATTTTTCCGAGACTCAAGAGGTTCTTCTACATAGAAGCATCCAGGTACACATTAGTTCTGTGTTTCTAATACAGTAACAGACAGGATATGTGTACCAGGAATAGGTAATATTGAAATGTTCCCGGGCCCACACCTATATGTCATTACGTTTCCGTCTGGGTTTCCTTAATATAATGCCTAGTTTGCCTTTAACGCCCATGAAGGGGTGGTAGCCAAGTGGTTAAAGCGTTCGCTCGTCACGCCGAATACCCGGGTTCGATTCCCCACATGGGTACAACGTGGGAAGCCCATTTCTGGAGCAAGTTAGTGAGCGAGCGAGAGTTTTTTTTTTTGCAGTTTCGCTTGATATGAAAGAAAAATGAAATACAATGTGAATTAATTTTAGAGAGTGAATGTTTGCTTGTGATGGATGGGGCATTTTGTAGCGGAACCCTTTTTTTCTTATTTTTTGTACGAAACCGTACCCAGATCTCATGGTTCCATTTCGAAACTAATATAAACCTGATCACGTGTGTAATACAGTAGGGATGGTCACCATGACCAGCGTTAACCACACCTGTAGCAGGTTCCCCACTAGTCAGCCTGCAGGTAGAGACAACACTATGTATGCAGTTGGATACATGGCGGAACCTTGTCATCCCTCAGATCCAGGCGACGGGGCCGCTAACTTGATGACAAGAAATAGACGAAAGGGATCGCGGTAACCAAGTCACCTTTGACCCCTAGGGTCATGTCGGGTCGTTGAGATCATGATTCAAAGGCAGTTGCACGGCAAATAGTTTCGTATTGTTGATACGAAGCTTTCTCCACAATTGCTGTTTTAAGATGCTTGGAACCAACCGGAGATCACTTCCTGGAGAAGAACAGTCCATGCATTGAGTAGGTGTGTCTGGTCAAACAGCATATAATGCATAAACAATAAACCTATATTTTTAAACTGTTATGTACATCATTTTGAGACAATACTTCATTTACAAACGGGTTTTTAATGTTGGCTATGAACATAGGTATGCTGAAGCTGATGGTCCGGGACATTACACTGAACACGCGACCAGCTCTCCCTCGTCTAGTTTCTCGAATCTTTTTTCTATTTGTTTTTTATTCAATATTCTTTCTTAAAACATTTAGTTGAAAGAGGAAAGGGAGTATAAAAGCATAATTTCAAACTTTATTTTTAAACTTTAGTGTTTTGAGTATTGTTTCTAGAATCTGCGTGACTTATATTCCTTATTGTTATTTGTAAAAGACCTTAAAAATAATTTAAGCTCGAAAGTAGACAAAAATTGGACGGCAGATTTCACTGTTAATCATACACAGTAGGGGCTGCAGATGTGGAGCAAGTATAAGGAGAATGGTTAGCAATCGAACCGACCTTTTCATTATGTATCTTCTCTCTGATACAGACTTTCCAAAACTCAGTCGTAATATTCATTCAGTTCTAACCATGCGTCACATTCGTTAATTCTAACATCAACAGCGAGCATCATCACTCAACTCACAAGTTTAAAATCACATTCAACATGTATATAATAACAAAGTTCCTTTTCTTTACAGAGATGTATCGTAAAACCAACAGTATCGTTCATTATCTAATCCCGAATCCAACCTTAGCACCTCGCCTGTGATAAAACACACCTGTCCTGTCAATCACGACGTGCTATAGATTAGACAATCTGTCAGTCAAACGGCCGTCAAAACACAACGTCAGTGTTGTGACGGTAGGTGATTGGTTAGATAGCACTCTAATTAAAATAAGCCTGTGTTGATTGGACAATTTACAAACAGAGAGATAATGCCGTTTTACTTATTGGATTTTCGAGTTTGAGTTGATTAAAAGTAAGTGATTATATACATGAGCGATGTGCAACATCGGAGATGAAATCAGCGCTTCGACACATAATAGATATATGTTAAGAAATATCTTTATGTTGAAACGGTTTTACCCTGTTGGGTGTTGACTAAAACACAAATGTTCAAGCAAGGGTAATCATTTATGATGACGTTTCATAAACAAGTATATTAGTTCGTTGCTGCACAGTAAAATCTATTGACTGGTATACCATTTATTTCAGAAATGAAAGCAATTATTAAAACATTTCCATAACACAACAGGGAGCATCAAGACTAGAATGCACTCATGATATCTAAATTGAGAATCGATCCCGGGTCTTTGATGAAGTCGCAAAGAGTGAGCACCACTGAGTTACCCTACGTGCCCATCTGTCAGAGATTATGTGTTCATTACTCATGTAAATAGTGACTAGTCAGCGTATTGTGTCATTATTCCATTCATTAAACCTATTTGTTATGTACATAATGGCAATATATTCAAAATCAAGAACTTAGCGTTGCTGTATTAATGTGTGCATTTAAATCATGTTTACAAATGTTCTGTCTTTCTTTCAATCTATCGGGTACATTTGAGGCATATGGCATTGTCGTCAGAAACGACTTCGGATACAAGCATGTTGGTTTTTGTCACTTTTAAATCTCAATGAGGTATTTAACAATAAGGTCTATGTCTGTATCATCTGTTTGTACCATCGGGCTGCATCACCCGTTATTATCATCAGTCTCTATTAGTTACGTCTGTATTAACTTTGTCTGTAACATACCAACTGTCTGTATCATCTTCTGTATCACTTGTTTGTATCACCCGTCTATATCATCTGTTTGTATCACCTGTCTGTATCATCTATGTCACTATCATAACCATCTTTCTAATCAACGGGTTTAATAGATGGACTTTTAGTCCTCAAAACATTCAAATGTAGAGAGCTGAAACGTTCACAATGGGTTCTCTGAGATGATTTCCTATTGGAAAACCAGGTTCAGTAAATACGCCTCGTTATCAGCTTTACACTTGAATTAGCAGTATCGACTAAACTTTCTAATGCGTCCATGATTCATTACCGGAATCGATTGCGGATTTCGTGAATCTTGAAGCTATTTGCGATTATTAATGACGACTGGAAAGGATGTGATATTTCCAGGCCAAACAAGGCCCCAGTTGACCCCATTAACTGATATGACATGAAGAATAATGACGATTATTATGGATATACAACTTGTTTTATTCTGTGGAGGCGACGTTTCGACATAGGTTCTAATGTCGTTGTCGAAATGTGGCCTCCACAGAATAAAAGAAGTTGTATATCCATAATAATTGTCATTATTCTTCATCAACTCAACTTTTAAAATGCCCATCAAAGAAGTGATATGACATGGTCCATTCGTACTATATCCACAGCTATCCAGCCCGTCATACCAAACGGAATCTGTTTCTGGGGATAGTACAGACTGGATATTCTTTTGCGCTGACAATTTATATTTAGTGCAATGGTTGAATGTCACGTGTTTTGTGAAATGGCAACACGGTTATATTAGAGTGGTGAAATATCACGATTTTCGTGCAGTAGTAGAATATAGAGGTTTTAAACGGAAGCAGAAGATTATTTAATTTGGATGTCACGTGCGCTGCATATATAGGTCACGAAGAGGATAGTTGGCGTACATTCTACAGGCACCCAGCTAAAATGAGTGAGTTTAGTTTTACGCCGCACTCACCAATATTCAAGCTATATGGCTCCGGACTGTAAATAATCGAGTCTGGAC